AAAAAAAAAAAAAACGAAAACTACTGCTAAATTTTTCACTTAAATATTACTGTATTTAGTAATGTATTATTAATAAATAAGGTTACTTTTAAAATAAAATAATATATTAAATAATATAATTAAATATAGTATTTCAAGGTATAAGTATTTTGTTTAAAATAATAAATAGGTCAGTCTTATGTTACATAACTTCACACAAAAAAATTATAAACTTGTTCACGTATAAATAAAATTAAATTTACAAGTTGAGAGAAATTTGAATATATTTTTAAAAGCGTGAAATAAATATGAATTTGTGAATAAAAATAAAATAAGAATATAATAATTAAAAATAATGATGTAAAATAATAAAACTATTGATTGGTAAGATCAATAGTTATGTATGTCAGATAAATAATTTATTTAGTTTAAAATAGATAATAATAATAATTACTACTTATTTTTTAATTGTGTTGTGAGAACTATATAGAAAAAGTGAAGTAAAATAATAGTTTTTTCTTCAATTTTATTTTAAATTTAAATTCAATTCTTATGAGATACATGTGGTTAAAAAAATCACAAGTGAGGGGAGGGACGGTAATTTGTTCTGAGGGCTGTCAGCGGACGACAAGTTTTCTACGAAGTCCGCCTACTCGGTGTTACTACAACCTTCGGGGAGACGTAACGATGGTTTGTGGAACGTCATCTGAAAATGGGAGGGCCCGCAGAGGATCCGTCATTTCCTCTGGCTTGCGGCCCGTGATAGTTTGTTGACAAATGTAAACCGGTGACGTCGCCGCATAGCCCTGAGCTCATTGACACTATTTGCTTGATGGATAGTGAATCAACGTTACATGCCTTACGAGATTGTCATGAAGTGACTAAAACTTGGAAGAGGTTGGTTCCTTGGGATCAGTGGAGTGAGTTTTTCTCGCTGGACCTTATAAATTGGTTCCTGGCGAGTTTATCTGGGTGCACCTCTTCGGCGGTGGACAGTTGGGAATCCTTATTTTGTCCCACGACTTGGCTTCTATGGCGGTGGTGGAGTTTAAAATTATTCCAAGGGACCGACACTACTATGACTCAACGGGTTGGCTAAGTGTTTTCTCATGCGGACAAGGTTCACGGGGCGTTGGCTAGCAGTAGAAGAGTCGGGACCCGCCGGTTGCGTGAAACACACTTGATCTCTTGGTCTTGCCCGACATAGGATGAGCTAAAGGTGGATACGGTTGTAGCTTTGACCAAGCGACGGGGATGGCGAGCGGTGGGGGTGTCATTTGCGACTACCATGGGAGATGGGTGCGTGAATTTTTAATGAATATCGGGTTCTGCTCTATTATTGGCGTCGAATTATGGGGGTTGTTCTAAGGTCTTCAGTTGGCTTCGGATGTCGAGGCAAAAACATTAAAGTTGAGGTTGATAATAAGAGCATCACTCAGATGGTAAATGATGATAACTATAGCGGACCGCATGAGAGTGTGTTGAAAGGGATCAAGAGCTTCTGGGTTGCCCTTGGGCTGTGGAGATCCTTCATAGATATAGGGAAACGAACTTTGTTGCGGATTATTTGACATCTCTGGCGATTAAGAGTGTCGATGGTCTTCATTGTTTGGAGTGACTTCCACCTTTGGCGGGCATATAATTACACCATGATATGGTCAGAGTTTTTTTCATTGGAAGATTGTTATCTAACATCACGTAGCCATTTTGCCTCATTTCCTTTTTCCAAAAAAAATAAAAAAATCACAACGTATCAATCGGGTCGGGTCGTACACCCGACAGTCCATTTGCACACATTTCACGCTCGTCGCGTAACTGCAGACGATATCACTCTGCAGTCTGCACAGCTCAACCTGGTTCGCTTAACCCCCTTTTTCAGTTCTCCCCATTTAATACCAAACCCTAACCCTAATTATCTCCAATTAACCAGCGATTTGTCTTCAACTCGGTGATCTCTGTCCTCGGCGTCTACACAATTGCATTTTGGGCTGAAGAAGGCCGGCATGGATCCGCAGGCAAACAATCTCTACGAGACGGCGTCGCAGCCGGACACCGGGAACGACGCCTACACGTTTCTCGAATTCAACACTCAGGGCGAGGAGGATTTCGATTACCCTGAATTTCAAGAGATCCCGCAGCCTATTCGATCATCAGCCACCGCCTGGCCCACACCCTCCGATTCCGTGTCAGCTGCGGAGGTTCCTTCCTCATCGGATGCTTCTCAGTCGTCCACTAAACCCCGTGACCGCGCCAGTGCAGGTGGAATTAGCAACAGCAGTGTGAATAATAGTAATAGTAATAACAGCAAGGAGGCGGGGGTCGTGGAGGCATTGGCAGCAGGGATGGGTGGCCTGAACTTTGAAGACACCGGCGGTGATGATGAGGTCTTCGAGTATGGGGAGGGAGACTTTACCGAGCATGCTTGCAGGTATTGCGGGGTCGCGAATCCAGCTTGCGTGGTGAGGTGCAATGTGCCATCCTGTAGGAAATGGTTCTGTAATTCGCGAGGGAATACTTCTGGTTCTCATATTGTCAGTCATCTGGTGAGTATTCTGGACAGCAAACCAGTATGCTAGTCAGTAGTCATGCCTTTATGTGTGGGATTTGCTGTTATGTACACATATATGCTATAGATCGCTGAATTTTTAACTATCCTTTCTAACATGGATAAATTCATGAGTTGGCCCATGCCATCTTATGATTATCTTGTGTTAGGCCCATGCTGGGTCTCTTAGGAGAATTACTTTTGCCCCTGGGATCAAATTTGCATTGGTTATTTTGAAGTTAGATCTTATTAATTGTGTGCACAGTTTTTGTAAATTATATCTTAAAGTACGAGTTACTAAGTAGAAAGATCATGATATGTATATGTGAACCATTTGGTGTTTTTGTTGACTTGATTATGTTGACCCCAGAACTGTTATTGTTTTTGTGCATGTGGCCTGTGATTATGTGGAAAGTAATAGTACATGCACAAGTATCTAATAATTATTCTGCTGTGGGAAAAAAGTGAACCTACGTAAGGGTTTTTGTGGGCATTTTTTTGAAGATCACTCTGACGAACTATGGTAATAGTCATTTTCAGTATGTCTGATATGGCACAATTATCTCTTGATTCATATCCTTCTATAAGGGCAATCTTGCTACAGCTGACAGCGGATTTATACATATTTATGTGGGCTCGTTGAGTTGCTGTTATGTTTGTTTTTCTGTATAGTATATTGAGGTTACTAATTTTGTCTGTAAAATGCCGGCAATTATATATCTGCGTGGTACACTCATTTCTGATTCGTCTGCTTTGATATATTTTAGGTGAGAGCAAAGCACAAGGAAGTTTGCCTTCACAAAGACAGTCCCTTGGGAGAAACGATTCTTGAGTGTTATAATTGTGGTTGTCGAAATGTTTTCCTTCTTGGGTTTATATCTGCAAAGACAGAAAGTGTTGTTGTTCTCCTCTGTAGGGAACCCTGTCTGAGTGTTAATGCACTAAAGGACATGAATTGGGACCTGAGTCAGTGGTGTCCGCTAATTGATGATAGATGTTTCTTGCAGTGGTTATTAAAGGTTGGGTATTCTTATATTTGTTGTGCTGGCATAAACTTTATATCCCTATTGTGGTGTTCTTAAGATATTGCAAAAGCAGGTCCCATCTGAACAAGAACAGTTGAGGGCTAGACAAATTACTGCCCAGCAGATAAATAAAATAGAAGAGCTTTGGAAAACAAATCCTGATGCAACTTTGGAAGATCTTGAGAAGCCTGGCGTGGATGACGAACCTCAATCTGTA